TTGTCGAGAATCAACCAGTCAATCGAGGCTTTCGTTTACTGCATCCTGGGTGCGCAAGTCAACGTCCGCAGCAGCATTCTCGGCTCAGGTGGCCGGGCGAAAGAAGCCCAAAGCGAGTTCCTAGTGTTGATGGAAGAAGCGATCAGACAGCCCGACTTGGCCAAGAGTGTGCAAAGGTACCAGCTCACGGTGGATCAAGCGAAGGTCAGGCTCAATCTCGCTGTAGCCCCCATGGCCTGGCTCATGCCTGTGCAAATGATAATAAACACTGCAAGCACGGTCGGTTACAACAACAAGCTGAAACAGGCGGTCTCTAGGATGAAACTTGGGGTGAACAACCAGGTAAACCTGGGGACAAAAAAAGCTGGGCTCAAACTAATGGCAGGCGGCCCGTCAAAAATTAACCCACCCAACAGCCATCTGTCCAACCCGATACACAAAGCCGCAACAGCCGAATCAAGGAAACCAGCTCCGTCCGAAACTCAGCAAGCACGGCCAACGGCACAAAAAATAGAGCCCATGGCTACAGATAAAACGTCACAACACGAAATAAACAAAACGGCAGTAATTGTCGGTGTAGTTGGATTATCGGCTTTGCTGTTCATGGCTGGGCGGTAAGTTAACGCTGCTTCTTAAAATATTTTTCGAACAAAAAGGCCACTGTGGCAAGAATGAGCAGCCAGGTGTGCTCAGCCAGAAACCCGATGACTTGGCCGGCGGCTCTGAACAGGAAGCTCACGATCGAGCCAATCAGCCCAGGCAGCAGAGAACCGAGTTTCACGGTGACATCTTTGAGGCCATTTCCCAAAGCTTTGCCGGTGGCTTTCAAACCTCTGGTAAGGGCCCCAATGACAGCTCCGATTGTGGTCCCGGTGGCGATAAGAATAGTGGTCAAGGATACGCCATATTTTTGGAAGATCTCTTTCACCCTTTCAAGGAGAGGCCGCCCCTTTCCCTTTCCGTGATCTGAGTTTGCAAACGCGCGAGCTCCTCGTTTCTTTCTGCCACTCTGCCATCTGCGGCCTCTTTTTCGGAGGGTGAGGCATTCTGATCTTGGATGATCGCCTGGTCTTCCTCGTTTTGGTGCTGCAGCTCGCTTTCCTGCTCTTTCAGGTCGTCCAATGGTTTTGTTTGGTTGTGCCTTTCTTCCATGGCGTTTGTTTCACTTTCTTTTGCTGCGAGGCTGGCCCTGGGTCTGTCAACCTTGGCTTGTTCCTTTTCTCTGTTTTTTGTTTGTTTTGTAAGCGAATCCAATTCTTTTTTCTTGTTTTCGAGATCGGTTTGATAGTTCTTTTTCAGTTGTTTCAGCCTACGCAGCTCTGCTTCACTTTCAAGATTCGAACCTTGTTCATCCTGAATGGCCTCGATATCGGCATCAGTTTTCTTGATTTTTCATCTCAGAGCTTCGACTTCTTTGTTTTCTTCTTCTCTTTGCAAAGTGAGTGTTTCCGCCTGTTGTTGTTGGGTCTCTGCCTCTATCAGTCTTTGGTGTTGTTCTCTGATGGTGTCGCGGTCTTCATCTATAATTTCTTTATGGCTCGGTCCAAGTTTATCGCTGAAGTTGTCTAAAAAGCTTTTCATGAAGCCTGACTCATCATCTTTCAGAATCTTGTACTCAATCGGTTTGATAACCCCCCTATAGCAACAATTTTTCCCTCATTTTTTCCAGTGCCTCTTCTGATTGGGATTTTTTCAAAGTTTGTTTTCGGGAATTTGTCTTTTATCATATCCACAGCTTTTTTGAGTTTTCGCCGCAAATAGCTTTCTTTTTGAAGATCACCAATTGAATCTGGACCAAGCAAAGGGTTATCTTCTCCCCCAAATGATGTCTCGGTATAAGAAGTGTGAGGCAGGCCAGACTGCTCGTGCCGCATAGTAGACATTTCCGTTTGTTCACCTCCATGGTAGGGAGTTGATGCCGCGGTTGGGTGAAAAGGTTAGGTTCTGTTGACCTCTTGTCCGGCATTAGAATCATCGTGGTCAAGCTGATTGTCAAGATCTGGGTCTTTGTAACCAAATTTGACACCGCCTTCCACCGACATAGCGATATATTGTAAGCCTATTATTTTTTAAATCAGAAATTATCACTGGCGTTTATTATACAATGTCAGTGCCAGAGAACCTCCGCCCAACGTACTCAAAAAAGACATTATGCACCATGCAGGCTGAGCGTGCGGTCAAGCGAATCACCTTTTCCCGCACTGAAGCCAAACCCAGCGATACGCTGTATGTTTCAGTGCCCAAGCTGAACGCAAACGAGGTTCTGGTGCCGGGCTTGCTAGCGCTTGTCTTTAACATCGACCTTTCTGGAGGGCACGCCAACAACTTCCTTGTCAAGAACGTCATGCGAGCGCTCGTTGACAGGATGCACGTGAAGTTTGGAGGCACTACCCTGCAAGACACGGTCGGCTAAGGCATCTACAAAATCTTTGATGACCTTTTTCATTCGCAGGAAAAGCGAGACGGCATGATCCTTGAAGGGATTCAGAGCGAGGACCTATGAAAGATCTGCTCAGGCGCGGGAGACAAGAAAACCTCGGGCGTCGACGCTGAAAACAAGCTGAATGAGGTGTACGGGAGCAAGTACCAGATCAGGCTGGACCATCAGATCCTAACCGATCATGGCATTTTCTACCCCCAGACCCTTTACAACGACCTCGTATTCGAATTAACCCTTGCTGGAGCTGAACATGTGGTCATTGGAACTGATACAACCCAGCTGAAATACAAGTTGACCAACATCCAGCTAGAGTACGAAATGATACGCAGCAAGACTCTGGGAGATGAGGCTTACAGTGTTTACTCTGGCGGCAAAGAGTTCGCCTATGACCATGTGATGTGTTCCCAAGTAGTGATCTTCAAAAAAGACACCAAAACGCGGCTCGACATCAAAGTCGACGCCCAAAAAAGGTCGCTAAAAGCCATCCTGCTGCTGTTCATAGAGCCGTATGCTGATGGCACCAGAGATTCAGAAAAATACCTCTTCCCGGATCTGATGAAAGTCAGCGTCATGATCAACAGCTCGCCCAACATGATTTACAACAACAGCGTTGAAGGCAAGGACATGTGGGAAAAGGCCCAACGCTTCTTTGTGAAGGAAAAAAAATAAAACCGAGCACATGGA